TTCTTCAATGGATTGGTTCTGAAAGAGCTGTCTATCCAAAAATCACCCGGTGTTGCAAATAAGGTTACATATATATATCAATGAGTGGTATATTGCGCTAGACTGACACAAAGGGAAGGAGTTGGGTGGCGGATCTGAACAGGCTGGTTGCAATGCCAGTGAAGCTACCGGGGAGATTTGGTTTACTTGTGATGTACAGCTGATGCGCTGTTTATAATTGTAAAGCCTTTGAAGCGTTGTGTGGTTGTTTGGTCCTTGATAAGAATTATAAGAAACATATCCACCGAAACAACTGGGGGTTCGAACTCGGGCAAATGGGGTTGTCAGTTTGATGTGTTAACCACTTGGGCGCATTTGCATTCAAACGTAATTTCATTGAGTTGATATTCACTTCAGCACATTTTGATATTCCTACCAATTCATTCATTTGCGTTGGTAACGGTTGCCAAGTTTTAGCAATAAGTGGAGGTCACTGTGAACTGCACTTCACAGTTACTATATCATGCCAGAGTTGATCCTAAATAAATGCATCGAGCTTTTCAGGTACCAAAATTATGAACTATTTTGGGTCTTAAATTGCACTGATTGAAACTATCCTGTCCTGAAGTGAATTTGATCAGGGAACACAACATGGTAGGATGGTCTAATTTGGCTTACCTTCCCCTTCTTCCTAACTTGTGGCTAGCGGTTTAATTTATTTATTGCTCATCATAAGTAGAATTTGAATACATCATATGTCTAACCGAGTTCATTCTACGTCATCTGAGTAGCTCAAAGCTACCGGTTGTTGAGGCTGGTGGAGGCCAAAGGAAGCAGTGGACGATTTTTCATCCAGTGTCAACACAAGGCACTGTTGACGATCCTAGCTTTTCTTCGGTAAATAAAGTTCTCAGGTTCCACATGACCTGGTTTCATTTTCTTTTTATAATCTAAATAATTCTTACACTGTGTCAGACATCAGATGAGATGCAGTTAGGTAACCTTGCTTTTCCCCTTAATTTCAATGATTGTTTTTTAATTGTGGGTCTAACTAATTCCCCAATAGAGTTTCATTTTGGTAATATGTGCCGTTCTTGCAATTTTCGGCATTAGCTGTTCCACCATATCGGTCAGTCGCCGGGTCAATTTTACTGGCTATGGAATTGAGATCTAAAACAGCGTCGGATTGTATTGCCATTCTTTGTGAGACGTTCGCAAATTGCCATTTACTTAGCGCCGATCAATCTGTTCACCTTGCAGGCCCCCAAGCCGAGCCTGTATTCTGTTGCACGTCCTCTAATGGTGGTATTCATTATGATGGGATAAAAATGACATTCTACAAAAACGGTGGGGAAGGAGACTGTAGATGAACGTACTGAATATGTTCTGGTATAGTTCCTGTCAGTTCACAGATTTTCGGGTTTGTGTTTTGTTTTATTCGATGGATCTTACATATTGGGAATTTATATATTCTTTCAGACGCTCAATACACTTGACTTGAGAATGGAGGAGGACCTGTTTTGGTTATGTGGAAAATTGGGCTCTCCAGAAGCTTATTCGGCTGGTGTGGATTCCCTCCAGATATCCATGTATCTCTGCTGGTTTGACAGATTTAACTTATGAATGGTGAATTCGGAAGTAAATCTCGTCCACCCACTCAAAGTGGCTGTCTTTGCATGCCGAACGTCCTCTCACCGAGGTTTAATGCATTGGCCACTTTCAGCCTCAATTAGNCAAAAGGTTGACGAAGGTAGGATCACTGATACTTACCTCAACTTTTGGGGGCCACCGGTGAGATTGGGCTAAGTGACAGAAACCAGAGACGAAGGACTTGCCGGGTACGCGACAATATTCTACCTCGGAGGAGCTACTTAAGTGAGATACTCTTTGCACCTATAATAATGAGGTGAATGACAAAATATTTACCCTGAGTGAATACCCTTTGAGATCATTCTAGCTTTTCAAGACAACGAATGAAGCCTATTGTTGAAGTTCTTCTCACCCTCGTGCCCATTCACGTCGCTTAGTTTTTTCGATACCTCAGCTGTACACGTCAGTAACAATTCAGCTTCTCTCACTTGTTCGTTTCCTCGGTCAAGTAGATATGCCAACGTTATCATTGCCAACTGCTCAAAATTTCAAAAGCTATTCCACCATTTAAGATTATCGTCAAGTAAAAATTTGTTACATGAGTGATCACTGGGTTTAATCAATCGGTAAATTGAAAAATCTCATGTTATTTCAACCCCAAGTTCTTTGTTACACTGAAAAAACCGGTATTGTTCTTCGTAAATAGTAATACAGAAATTCATATTTTAAATGGTCCAAACTCTGGGTTAATCGATGAAGTTGTGACCAGAATGGGAATCACGTTTGACAGAGATTGGAAAATTGCTCATTTGAACAACACGATCTCCTATGAATAAGCATTTCTCATAAGGGATTTGGGATACTGTATCCAAAAACGATTGAATCAGTGGTAAAGAGATACAAGATTGTCATCCGCCTGAACAACAAAAAACCAAAATGGCCACAGCAGCCACAGCGCAGTAAAATTTAAGCAATCCCCCTCCCCTCTATCCCCACCCCCACCCCACGCACATGGCGTTGACAAGACTACTTTGTCCATCTTTGCCCCCTAATCCCTTTTTGTTCGAAAACAAATCGTTCCGTAGTTCACGAGCACAACCGTTTAGTGGTTCAAATGAATAATAAAACAGCACACAATACTGACAAAGAGCATATTGATTTTTCACATTCATTACGATTAATTAATGCATACAATAGTTACACAAGAATGACCTTCACAAAAAACTTTTAGATAGTTGACACTGCATACTGTTTACTACCAATCAGTGCTCTTCTGATCGAGTGGTCATTTTCAATTCACTCTAGATGATTATTTGCCCATTTCAGTTTTCAAATAATAGAAGCTATAATGATTGAGCTGAAATAATTCGATAAAGTTGATCCGGGACATCACACCTTTTGTACGTGAAATTTCGCTGGCTCAGCTGATTACCATATTGCACCAGCTTCCGAAAAATTCCCGCAATAAGTTACTTGTATTATATATAACTTGAACAGATTGAGCACTCTGAAGCCAAATGGCCTAGTGATCAAGCCTTTAACAAGTTTCTTCATTACAGAGAAGTGATATGGACAGTAATCATGATTATGTTAATCTTCATTGCTCACTCGGTATATTGTTCTTTTTCTCTGAACCTCATCAACTCACATCAAGACGTAGTGGAAAGTGGAGAAATTGAAAGGTACGGTTTAGATTTGAATAGATGATCCGATTAGAACTTTTGCCGTTAGACCAATATCTCCTCTGTCGGTGAAGACCAGCTTCAAAGTGGTTTATCCAAAGGGAGTTAAACTTCACAAAGTGGCGAATATGAAATTCGTGGGTATATATTAGAGTGGTGTTTGCAGTCAGTGCCAGGCCCATGAAGGGTAAAAAACAGGTGTTCAAATATAGATCTGAATTCACAAGATGAGGCTGTGGGAAAAGGGATAAGAAAGTATTGAACATAGGAATAATATTTTCGTATTTTATTAAATGATAATTGTGCAATTCATTCCAGTGAAATAGAAAACACCAGGGAGTTATGCGCCTAACCAACTAAAGCGATCATTGATTTTTGTATAACTTTTTTATTTTTTTTTCAATTACATATAAACTCTTCACCAAATCTCTCTTAAAAGAAGATCACTTTACAAACCGAAATGGTACTTGGATTTGCATCGAACTGTTATTTGTTCTTGAAAGGACGAAGCAGTGAACTCTAAGGGATTTAGCTGTTTATTGGGTTGGTGAACGGTTAGGCTCGAACAGAAACGGAATGACACATTTCGATCGTTGTCGCATCATTGAGGGAGTGAGGATGGACTAGGTTATTCTAGAAGAAGTAGAAAACATAATGCGTTACGGTCATTTTCTCGGAGCGTTCGTTAACCATGATAAAGCAATCACCGCCGACGGTAGGAGCATTAAAGGCAACAATACGAATGGCGGTAACTCCCAAGAGCATGTCAATTCTCTCTTTCTGTGTGTGTGTGTGTGCGCGCGTAAATCTGAACGTTTTCACTGACATATTCACTCGCTTTGGTTTTCTCGGTTCGCGAGTAACCTCATGATTAGATTAGGTCCCGTTGACACAAATCTGATTAGAAGTGAGAGATGGAGAGAGTATGCACAAGAGAGCCGAATGGTATAGTGTGAGATCCAACCATTTCTCTTATCCTGTCTTTTCCCTGCATCAATCTATCTACCTCACACATTTTCTAACGATGTCTGTTTGTGTGCCTCTGTTTGCAATCGGAGAGACTACCACTGTTTGCCTGATAATTTTGCCTCAGTTTGCTTGAACCTTGTCACTTGTCGTTCATTGTTTATCTGTAAGACAATCCAACCGTTTGCTCTATCGCTTGTTGTAGAAGCATCAATGTATGTGAATGTGTACTTAGTTGCGTGTGTGCGCGCGTGCATTCGTTCGCCCCCGGTTTTCTAATCTTCCTGGACCGATGGATATTGCAAGAGCAGGACCGCACCGTGCGATGACGGTGTGTGTCCAGCTAACGAAAACACTGCCCTATCAACACAATAGAAGCAACAGTAGCAGGAACACCAATAGCGGATTTCCTTACCCTTCTGATGTCTTGTTGTTGTTGGTTGCCGCTTGCCAATCCCGGATATAAGACAAATACATACATACACAGCACACGTGTAGCGTTATTAATGTGCACAATGCGCACTGTAACACACGCCGACAACCGCACCCACAATCTGTTTAGCGTCGTCAACTCACCGTGGTCGATTTTCACGCACACGGACGCTCATCTGTCGTCAGACCGGCGCAGTCTACGAATGATGCTGATGATGCTGATGACGATGCACGTTTCATGCCGTTCCAAACCTCCAGTTTGCAGGTCGTGGGATGACTGGCTACCCAACTGGCTACTTGGTTGGTTGGCTGGTTAGTCGGCTATGCTAGCCCGAGTGCGTGCGCGCCTGAATGCCATTGGATGATGACCAACGGCATTCACAAAAGCCACCGCCGCCGCCGCTACCACCACCACCAAAGGCCACCAGTGATCGGGCGGTGCTGACAAGTTCGAATGCGACGACAACGACTGGTGGTGAGCGGCGTAAGAGAGATGCATCCGCTTGGACACACGCGTGCGCGTTGGAACACACACGCGCGCAAGTACGTGCACAGCGACACTCTTTCGTTGTCGCTCCTTCACCGTTTAAAGCGTATTGGTGTATACCGTGGGTACATGTGAGACGACAACCATCTATCGAGCTATCGAGCTAACACCAGTGTCAGTGAGAAGTGACCGGGAGAACGAGAGAGAGCTGGTGCGTAAAAGGAAGAGATAGAGATTGAGTTGGACACTAACCACGACAGTGGATGCTGCGCTGCTCCACGGTGGTGGGGATGCTTGTTTTTCACAAAAGATACACGGTTCCCTTGATGCTGTTAACTGAGGACAGAGCACATAAATGTGCGCATTTACATGCGGACGCACGCACGTGCACTAAGCTACGATAGACATAGTGTATGTGACGACGTGCTCTCTCTCCCAGATGAGACGTCCTGTGTTTGTGGGTGTATGTGTATGCGAGCGAGCTAGCGCAAGTTTATTTGTGCGGCAGTTTGTCTCAGTGTGACAACACACTCGCACCGTGGACTGCAAACACACACACATACACGTCTTGCATACACACGCACGCACGCACACATACACAGCACGCAGATCGCACGCCCACTGATCTGTGTCGACGGTGAAAGACTGTTTTCGTGGTTGTCGACCGCGTTCGACTGTGGATGATTGCAAACAGATAAATATGTGTGCGGCCGCACAATGCGAATACGCACACATCATTCCCAAAGATAGATAGACTGTATCACTGCATTCACCAGACAACGTCATTTGTACACATTTAAACAATAAGAATAGGTTTTCCAGAGGAGTAAAGTGGACAAAACCAAGTGCAAGATATTTTGCCGTCCTTCATCCGTTTGGATATGACCCATTTAATTCAGACACGGCCATGTGAGGTGACCACTGCCGAACACGGTGTAGTGAGTACATCCATTTGTGGCTCTGTTATGACATTTGAACCTGGTTGCGAGGAGACTGATTCGGTCGTATCCATGGCAAATCAATCGATCGATGGGAAATTCAGTCGAGAATTGATAAAAAAACGTCGTCTAACCAGTAGTTCCAACATTTCGGGTACGGCAATCAAAAAGGGTCGCATGTTCCCATCGGATGATACTTGGACTTTGGATCCGGTCGATTCGACCACAGAGCACGAGTCCTCCTCCACTGGTCAACTGTCTGATCGAACTACAGCATGTTGGAATACCGCCGAGCTAGGCTCTACCATTGTTTCCGCCTCTTCGCCGTCAACCGGGTCCCCAATTTCTGCCCACTCCCAGATATCCCCGGAATCCACACACGTGGAATCCCACGGGATAGAGCAATCCGGTATGACTGAACGAAAACCCAAATCCACCGCATTTTCCATCGATTCGATTATGGGCAAAACAACACCGGATGAATTATCAGAACATCCAGAAAATCACGGTAAGTTCGATCGTTTAAAGGAATCAAGTCTCCATCTATCTGGTCACTCACCATGGCAGCTTGCAATATGGTTGAGGTACCGTCAACAAACTGTTGACAAACCGAACAATATGCATTCGATAACTTGAGCACTCAAAGCTCACAGGAAATAGTATTCAGTTATCTCTAGGTTATCCACTCAGCCCTAGTGATTATCTGCGCGTTCGAACTATTGAGTGATATTAGTAAAGGCTGTGTATCGCAAATCGATGCATGATCAAGAGATCGACCGTACCGTTCTCCACGGATAGGTCGCTTCTGCTCGCCTGCCCTCAATTACCTATTCCTTGAAATTCCACTCTTGATACATACGGGCCTGAGTTCATCAGTAACAACTGTGCTTATGAATGCGTCAAATCAAGTCAAGATAAGCTTTTATGCACTTGAAGTGACTTACAAAAAATATTGCTCACAATGGTGTCAGTAATGAGTAAATGAGTAAAATAAAACTAATCCAGCGAAAAATCTCATCCCCGAGAACGACAAGTGTTTGCGTCTGGTTGACCAAACGTGTTCAATAAACCAAACAAAGCAAAAATTTGGAATTGGGCGCGCACAATTATTGGTCCTCGCGTAAATAATAGCGCTATATTCTACCAACAAACTGAACACAAACGTAAAATGCTCAAAAGCTATGACCTCAACTAAGGCATCATTGTAATTGGATGCCTCTGGGACCTGGAGAATGTCGTGAAGTTAGTATTACCGAGTCCGGGGAAAAGCCATCTCAACAACTAGGGGGTTAAAACGCATGCAGTCAAGAAATCGAACTATAACCTTTTGGGCAGCAATAAGCTTCTGAGGCCCGAATGAATAGATAGATAGATTCTGGCCCTTGAAAACAATTTGACCAGTGAGGCTGAGACAGACACACAGCGAGGAAGAACAAAATTAACATAATTATGCCAACCAAACATGGGAGGCATCAACCGTACTGTCGAAAAGTTAAAAGTGAGTTTTATTGGAAATGAAGGCAACCAAATATGCTACCGAGCAAGTGTCAAATGCAGTGATACCGAACAGACTTGCAGATTCTCTTTGACGGGCGGTCAGTCTGTTTTGTCATTAGTTGGGATCAGTCTATTCATAGGCGATCAGATAATTACCCAGCGAGGCTTCTTGGGAAATAAGGCATCTTAGACGAATTGCAGTAAAATGCGGGTGATTCTCATGGACGTCTTATTTGCAGATGGCTTGTTATATAGGATTTAATGAGGGACAAACAAATTTAGTCTCGGCAAAGCGTACTGTGATGTTGGCAATCTGTATTTTTGTTTGGGAAATTCTTGGTTTGAAAATGTTTCATGAGTTTTCCCCCGTTGTCCCGTTGTATTGATAAAAAATACCGAATATACTTAAAAGAATTAACATTCAATTAGAGAAGAAATTTTTGGAAACGAAAAATCAGTTTTGAAAATGAATTTGTGTAGTCTACAAGTCTACCCACTACTCCTTCGAAATGTTTACTATGGACGGATAGTTTCATCTCAGAAAGTTAAAAATACCCATGTTCTGATCACACTCGTATGACATGGCGCCCAATTCAGGAAGTAACTTCAGTTTTCAATCTCCTGTATCCATGGCTAATGAGCATTTATTCCAAACTCTGTCTCCTACGGTTGTCATCACATTTCTATTGACAGAGTTTCCTTTGCAAGCATTCATGACGGATAGGCGTTTAATTGAGAAAAAAAGTAATCGTTTTGCACCACTAAAGTGAACCGTGAGACGACAAGATGGGAGCGCTGGAGTTAAGTGCAAATGTTATTTGTTTACAATTGGATGCGTTACGTGACAAGCATTATTCCTAGGTCAATAATCCGTTCGTCCTTCTCATTTGTTCATTACATTATCCAAACTTTCAGCTGTTAAGTCAACCAGATTTCCAGGTGTGAACCTTGGTAATGATATCTTCCGATAAAAACTTGTCCATGAGATCTAGAGTGAAACCAGACGTTAGTAAATTCGGTTCTTTTTAAACACCGTAAGTAGATCAGCAAATACGTTCAAATCGGATCTTCTAGAGCTCGACTGTGTAACTTGAACCTTGAAACTTTCCGTGGTTCCAGGGGGGAAATAGGCCCAAAAACTAGTAAATATCAATGAATTGGTTTTTCGGCGAAAGCTAACAAGTGCACATGAAACATTTCCCGGTGCATTATCCTACAAAGTGATCTATTCTCTCAAACCTATTTTGTTTATGCGGTTGTAAAACAACTTCTATTAATAATTTCACAAATTTCACACTATTAAAGGGATCGATTAGATTCCTCTCTATCTAGCTGAATTAAATTTTTTGAACAAGTTAATCTCATGGATAACACAATGGTCACGCCCAAATGCCTTGACTAACTGGATTTCAATCCAGGTTGATAAACAACTATCAGTTGCAAATTTGTAAAGAAAAAAATCATAGTGCATACTGTTTTTACAACCTCGTAGGTCTTACTAATATTATTGCTAACATCAGTCACGTTCAGTTAGAATCTCCTGGTGGAATAGTGGTGATCTAAAGCAGAATGCTTACTGTTCCCGTTGTTATTGTTCATTGAGCTTTCCCAGCTAACATGGTGCTTTTGACAAACTCTGCGCATGACACACAAAAAGTGCAACGGGTCATATGATAAACAATTTTAGTCATACAACACACGTATGTCTGATATCGGGCTAAGATAAATGGTAGTAGAACATGTCAAACATGTTCGAGTCGAGCAAATTTATCTGTCTCTGAAGTATACGAAGCGGTTTAATGTGTGTCGTGTACTCCCATTAAGCTGTTATTATCAGTTCAATCATGAAGAATATAATTGCGGATAGAATGGATCACGGATGTGTGCAAATAGAGAACGAAGTGACAATCGAACTACTCTGTGCAATAGAACACTCTTGGACCCTTCTGTCTAGCTGATTATCATATGCACTCACTGAAGACTTTTTCTGTTGTTGTCAAAAGAATAACAGTTGCGAAACAGTTTGTTGTTCTTGGAGTGATCTCGCCCCAGTGACAAAAACACCCCGAGAAATAGTGCGTGGGTCTTCCGTGATCACTTGATTGGAAATTTCCGTCATAATTCATTATTGTCCATTAAATTCATTGAGGTTCAAACCGGTACAGCCAGCGAGAGGGATCTGATGGAGTGATCTCTTAAATTGTGTATAGAATGTCTTATGGATGGTATTTTGTCTGATCATCGAAGTTAATCACTGGTTCGGGTTACGTTTTGACCACACAATAAATCCCCAGAGTAAACACGCACATTCTGAAAAATACAGAATGTTTATCGATGTGGTTGATTATCGGAAGTACAAATGACGGTTCGACTGAGCTGGATATTCTCCAAGTATTACACAAGTTACATTTCAGGAGGAATAAATACAATGTGAAAAAATGGGATTGATCGTATTTGTTCAGTCGGTCTCATTCTTTTCCTCCTCCTCCTCCTCGCGATGGTATTCGTGGACTGATCACTATGTGATTAGTGAGACAGTCCCTTTACGCTATTGCACTGTTGCGTAGCTATTGAAATAATTGCATCAACAAGGGGTTTACAAAGTCTCTCAATGCCACACCTGCAATCCGTGTGGATCGAGGGAGATGATAGTTCTTTGCGCAATGCGATGTGAATTTGCGCAACTGAGAATTGAAAAAAACAGGGGCTTTCACACCTGGCACTGCGGAGGCATCACATGATTCTTCAGGAATTGTTGTATCCAGTTTCTCTCTCCGTGTGTGTGTATTGGCCCGTACGTGCATGCAAGCTAACACTTGTGTGATCCGATCGGCACAGCATGTTGCTAAGACAAATATTGGCCACAGCCAGATGTGGTGTTGGTCAACCACCCGTTTTCTGATCATCCGATTTGAACTGCTTTTTTTGTCATTCACTATAGAATGTTTATGTTAAGTGGTTTTTCACTAAACACAAAACATGGTGATAATGATGAGTGTGATGGTATTTGTGTTGTCAGTTGTTGCAATCCAACAGATTGAATGTGTTGACAGTGGGTAGTATAAGCATAGGAGATGACATTTCAGTCTAAACTTACTGTCCGGTGCATAGATCGGACATTAAAATAAAGCAATCCAAACACGACATGCGCAGTGTGTGGAAGGAAATAGGTGTTGGAGACAAATGCCTGTTGATTCATGCGATGACCATGCGTGGAAAGTTGTTACAGCTTGAAGTGACCTCAAACCCGAAAGGTCTTATGATAGTCAAAGGATATACCTACCAAAACAAATTGAGGATGCTGATCAGGAGAACATATCCTAACAGCAGGCAGTTACAATTAGACTGTGCCGTCTTTCGGATTTCAGTTTGAATAAACGTGTCCTTCTTTGTATTGAATACACAAACGCATAATCGACGGACCTGAAGTCTGGAGTTTCCGGCTACAAAGACAGTAGCTTAGATCAGTCAAACGTTTACTCAATGGCTTTTACCTTCGAAACAGTCATTGAGGCATTATATTAAATTGAAAATAAGCCTTGTCAAGTTTTTCTTTTTGTTGCTCTGACAATAAATGCCGTTAGTGAATAAATTCCGTCCCGAAATGGAGGAGCAATTGTGTTTGGTTATAAGGAACTGATAAAATCAGGAGCGTCAAGCATCAATGAGGAGAAATATTTCTAACTTTGCACTACTCATTCTGATAAGCAAGCAGTGGTTAACAGAAATGTTTGTGCGTCATCAAGTTGAGAGTGTTCAGCATTTTACACGAGAAATAGTCGAGTTTTCTCTTCTCGTTGCTTCACGCTTGATGTATATCGAGTTGGACTAACGCTGAAGGTTGAAACTGATGAAGGGAATTCAAATCTAGGATAGGTGAAATAGATTTCGAGTGATTTTTCATTAACCAAACTTTCGTTAATTAATTTGTGATCGGACTGTTTTTTCTCATTCTCTCCATTGAAAAATCTTATGTTTTCCGTGGCTCTTTCGAGACAAATTAGCAGATACTTGCAAAATGTGATCTGTTTGATTTGGGACTAAGTCCGCCAGTAGATGAAGAGTAAAGTATGCGCAGTTACATTCAGCAATACACAAATCTTTAGTTTCGTTCACTATTTTGCAAGTCAAGCGTTTCACTGAGCTCTCGAAATATGTTCCAGTCACAAATGTACTGTCCACTACGAAGTTTATTTCTGACCATAAAAAAGAAGCGTAATTCAGAAGTTTTAACTGTTTAGCTTTTGTATTCAGATTATCCTAAAAGTAATAGTAGTCTGACTCACAAGGGGTATGCCAAAATGAATGCTGACTGACCAATTACCCGGGATAGTTAAAACGAGAAAAAACAAAGACAGATCAACACAAAATTTACAAATCCATACATGGAAATACAATGCTTTGGAACTACGATGTGATTAGTGATTTGTAATTCATTCAACAGATGACTGTAGGATGTTTTACTCGTACAGCGTACGCTTCGTGCAATTATGATAGTCTCGAGTGATGTAAACAACAACTGGAAACAGGAAAATGGTTTATGGCTGCCGTATATAATATGGCGCTGAGTAGTGCCAATTGTTTATCACCATTTGAAATCTAAACCCACATTGCAATGCATTCAGAACCGCACCGAAAGTGTCGCATCGGTTGACAAAGAAACGTGTGTAGTCCAATTGCACGGAGCGACCATCCGGCGAAATAGAAACCTTATATCGGTAATCGTAAATCGGTTTGCTTTCGGATTTGTACAGTGTTTTTTTCACCGAATGCGAAATAACAATATTTCACACTCATGTTTGTTAAACGCAGCTTCAACAAAGTCTGCATAGATTACAAACTACGGGTTTAATCTCTGAAAAAATACCCCCTTAATTCTTTCACTACGACTGCAGTCGCACCGTAGACTTTGGAAACCGGAGGATTGATAAGGAGGGGGGGTAGGGGTAGGGAAAGGGGGTAAGAACGAGTTCTGTATCAGGTATTTGTACACCGATTGAGGCAGTCGGTACTCAAGTTGAGACAGGTTGAGCATAGCAATATTCGACGGTGTGAATGCATTTTCCGGGCTCAGAGCACTTAATTGGGCGTGTAGTGCCCAGTAATCTTCAATACCAAGGATCGCAAATGACGAAAACCAATAAAGTGGGGAAAGTGTCTTTCGGATAAGCTGGATGAATCCAAACATTGTTTAACAAGGATGTATACATTTGAGTATTACTCAAAGTAAAAGGTTCATTAGTGAAAATTTTCAGCAATTAAGAACCCAGTTTATTTTTTAAATGGGCGTAAAATTAAGAATTGTCTAATTCAAAGGGCAGCAGCAGTGATCGATACGCATTGAGGTGTTCACACAGTACAATGCAAGTCAGTCAATTGGATGTCGCGAGTGGGCAAAATATCGCTAGTGTATCATATTCTTATGTGCCCAAACAAATCGTTCCGTCACTTCAAATCTATAGGTCAACCGTACACAATAACTTGCTTCTTGTAACTTGCAAATTTTGAGAGTGAAGTGGTAAATTATTTTTCATTTTGAGCTGGAGAATAAGTTTTCAATTTTATTTCATCCTCCATGATGCATTATAGGGCTATTCATTGTAGAGAACGAGTTTCCTACGTCAACTGTATGGGCCCCGTGATAGCCATGAATAATTCGTACTATCTTCATCGTGTGAATGTGATTTTGAAGCTTTTTAATCGTGTTTTTGTAAAGATGATCAACGGGCAGTGTAATGCTAGGTTTTCGAATGAGTCATGCATTTAATGCTTCAAACCTGGGATGATTTTCTCTAGACGTTACAGGAATGAAATATGATTTAGTATCTCAGTGAACAGAAGATGCCTCTTCCTATCTTTGGATTGAGAAAATGTGAACAATTCGCATTCACTCCTGGAATAAATAAATAGTTCAACAATATTTTGTTCCGATTTTTCGAACGAATGAACTGTATCGAATCAATTCAATTTGCACTGAAGAAAACACGAACTGTAAGGAACACTTGTCTGAACATTTTATACCAAGTGGGAGCATGGCTGTATTTTTACAGCTTGGTTGTCTTCTTTTCTTCATCCGCCACAACAATAACAACCCATATTTGTTTTTCTACGAGGTTGGATAACAGTGTGAACTGTAACAATATTTGCGTTCTTTCAAGATGATCACGGTGTCTAAGGTATTTTCTCTACTGATTATGTTTATGGGTACATGGTACATGACCCCTGTGCCAACGCTTAGCATCCAGCTACAATACACTATGGTAAAGCGACTAAAATCTGGACTGAACTTATGTCAAACTCTCTGTATTGACACACTGTCTGTTTCATGTGTTGTTCACGATCTGAAGACAATGTTTATAGGGCACGTGGATGTAATGATCGAGTTCAGTGTGCTTCTGTGTTCAGTCAGCTTCGATCTTGAATCTTCTCTCAACCCCCTGTCCCTCCACACACACGCACACACCACCCCAGATAGAGCTCTACTGTTCTACTGTTGCAAGAAGTGAATTGTTGATCCAATGGATTCTGTACACTCATTTCAAAGTTTTGCACTTACGATCACA